GGCTCATAATTCAAAACGGAATGTCATTTGTTGTTTTTAGGAGAAAAACTGTAGCTCGTGGGGAAAGTGTGTGAATGATAGGACTAGGATTCTTCTGTGAAGGTTGGCGGCAGCCATGGGGTCCACGCGAGTAATATCTACATCCGAAGGGCCATACGAGGAGAAGACCTCAGAGTCACGAGTACGTCCCCAAGAACCGGAGATGCGACCATGATACGCCCTTGCTGTGACAAGAACAGAGGAACCCGCCACGTCGTTAACAGTCGGTTGTTAGGTCGACACGAGGAAGAGCGTGATAGGCCTGTGTAGCCTATGACCATACGTGCGGTAGATGCGACCTCAGTTGTCACCACCTGATTAATTATCACATGTGAGTATATTGCTCGGAGAAAAAGATAAGCCGTGTTTGCTTACATCAGGTCAGGTCAGGTAAAGTGGATTTACGGGACATATAGGTAAATACCTTTAAACTCCCTATGAGTACAAAGCAGCTTTAAAATGCATTGGTTCAACAGAACATTGCAAAAGATTGGCGTTGTCAGTAATGGAACTGCGTTAAGAGAGCAGACAGTGACAACAATTCTTTAGATATTGTTCAACAATTATAGAGACTTGAATGTCATTTGAGTGATTTAAAAAAGAAAAACTGCCGCCCGTGGGATGGGAGAGAATATATGCAAACTCAGATGTCCCGCTACTAAGAGCGTTTGACGCATTTCAGGAAGCACCCGTCGCGGTTTTTGTCAATGTCCTAAGAGTCATACGAGGAGGAGATTGCAAAGGTCACGAGAACATCATCGAGTTTCGGCGATGCGCCTTTCATACGCCCTTGCTGGTTACCGAGTCTGCCGACTAGGTGACGAAACAGAGGACCCCACCACGATCCTCAGCAGTCCGTTATGGACAGCCACAAGGAAGAGTTTTACAGGACCGCGTAGCCAAGGACCAGAAAGTACGGTGGATTCAATTGTTGCAATTCGCATGAAAAGGAAAGCGTGCTAAGTAATAATTCTAAACCAGCATTGCTG